TGTCGACTAAACTGAAGCAAGCATCCTTTTGAATTTTTCCCTATCTCTAGAAACTACTTTACTTTAAAGCTTCTGAAAGTTTTAACATCACAATTGCCAGAAATACTGATTTTTATCAGCCTGTTAAATATTGGTCTCAAAAGTGCTAGTATGTATCAGCCAACTTTAAAAATTCGTATTTTTCAAACTAAAGCAAGTGGAAATTTGCAATTTTTCGCATCTATAGCAAACACTCCATTCTATAAATCCTGAAAATTTCTTTACAATGGAAAATGGAATCCTGATTGTTTCCGAATTAATCAATATCGCTCTCGACACGAACGTTTTCGGACAACTGCGCTATTTTCTTTAAACATTTGCACCTTGCACAAGCTAACGTAAATAGCAATCTTAAGTTTTGACCATTTTTACACAAAACTTGACTAAAAAAATGCATGCTGAAGTTTCCATAGACATCGCCTACAATTCTGAGTTTTATCAGAGTAGAAAATATCGGTCTTTCAAATGGATGTATTCACCCAACTGCTCCCTCTTCTTTAAAAAGCTGCATTATTCAAGCTTAAGCAAGTAGCACTAGCAAAGTTTTTGCATCTTTGGAAAATACTTCGTGCTGTAAATGCTGAGAGTTTGAGAAAAATCACCAATAATTCTGAATTTTTGCGAATTTATAAATATCGGTCGCAAAACGAACGCTTTTGGTCAACTGTCCAAATTTCGTTAAACATTCGCATCTTCTAAACTGACTCCAGTAGCAAACCGACTTTTTCACCATCTTTACAAGATACTTGAGCTGTAAACATGAAGAGAGTTTTATAAAATGCTTTCAGAACTCTGATTTTTGACAGCTTAGTAAATATGGATGTTTTTAGCCATCTGCGCTCCTTCTTTTAAAAATTTGCATCTTCCAAACGAAGGCAAGTAGTGATCCGAAATTTGTACAATCTATCGAAAATACTCGACTCCCACGATGCTGAAATTTTCATAAACATCTATCAAACTGGTGATTTTTGCCAACTTATAAAATAATCCGTAAATATGGATATCAAAATTGGTGTTTTCACCTAATTGCTCGCTCTGCCTTTAAAAATTTGTCTCTTCCAGACTTAAGTCTACACTTAAGTGGCAATTTGCAATGTTTTGCATTTCTTAAAGACGCTTCACTCTACAAATACTGGGATTTCATTAAAATAACCAAAATATTTGATTGTTGGCAAATTAGTACCTAAATGTTGGTCTAAAAATGATCGTTTTTGATCAACCGTGCTTTTTATTTAAATATTTGCATCTTCCCAACTAACGCAAATAACAATCTGCAATTTTCACCATTTTTTGCAGACACTTGAATCTAAAAATGCTCGAGGTTTGATAGAAATTGCCCCAAATCCCGATTATTGCCAGCTTAATAATTATCGATCTCAAAATAAAAATTACCACTCAACCAGGGGCGGATCCAGCTTTAAAGTCAGGGGGGGGGCGGTTATGTAGAAAAAATACAGTCTTCTGTTATCTATGAAATTAGAAAAATTATCGTCGTTTTGTGCAAGGGTGGCGCAAGATTATTGCAAAATTT